TCCAAACACCCCCAACCCCCCTTTTTGTTATCTTTTTATTTGGAGACACTAACTTGTCTGGGTTGTTGGCCTTGAACTTTCCATTGTCCAGTCTTTCAACCTTCTTAGCATCTGTGATCATATGGCTGGAACTACAAACCTGTGCCCCTAGGCCCTGCTTTCTTGATTTGGCTTTTTGGAACAGGATCTTGATTTGTAGCCCTGGTTGGCCTGGAACTCTCTATGTAGCCCAGACTGGCTTTGAAACTTGAGTTTCAAAGATCACTTTGAACTCCCAGTGATCCTTCTGGTTCTGCCTCCTGAGTGTGGATTACAGATTTGTGTCATCATGCCAGGCTTGAGTAGAAAGGTTTGAACACAGAAATGTTGGGACTGTTGGCTAGCATCAGGCACCTATGTTAAAATATTATAAGCAAGGGATGGCTCAAAAAATTGGCCTATTTTCAAGACATAATTCAGAAATTTCAAGTTTTAACAAATGTTGAAAGTTGCAACTGTTTTTATTCAATTTATGAGAGAAACTAAAAATGCTTTGAGCCAAAAGACTGTTTTAAGACATGACCCTAGGGTTAAGACTGAATAATGTGATACTCAAAATCCTCAGTAAATTCTTTCACTGGACAAAAAACGCTCAAAGAAAAGAGACAGAATGATTCTACAGAAGCCTGATAGATTCAAAAGACCTGTAATCAAATCTATAGAAGGTATCTAAAAGAGTTGTGGTTGCAACTATTGGCACATGAGCTAACTGGAATTAGGGGTGTGTGTGTTTTAATTTTATGTCTGAGTGTTTTTTTTACATCATATAAATATATACATGTTGTATAATGACTGTGGAGGCCAGAAAAGGGCATCAAATATCCTGTAACTAGAGTTATGGATGGTTGTTAGCTGTCATGTAGGTGCTGGGAACTGAACCCACATCCTCTGAAAAAGCAGCCAGTACTTTTAACCACTGAGTCATCTCTCCAGTTCCCCCAACCCCCTTTTGCTGACATAGGGTCACACTATGTTGTAGTCCTGACTGGCCTAAACTGGCCACGTAGATCAGACTAACCTTGAACTCACAGAGATCCACCAGCCTCTGTCTCCCAAGTGTCGAGATTAAAGGCATGCACCACTACAGCCAGCTTTGGAATTAGATTTTCAAAAAGCTTTTGATAATGACTGCTGAAAATACAAAATAACTCTTGTGCCTCAACAGCCCTTAGCCAGGAAGCACATTAAGAAAGCTGCTGAGCCACCAACAATATGGTAGAAACATTCTCTAATCCCCTTTTCAGATGTGGCCAAGGATACTACAAAAGGAACTCCCTCTGTTTTTTTTTCTCTTTTCTTTTTCACTATGTAGCCTAGGTTGGCCTCAAAGTCATGGTCATCCTGCCTCAGTGTCCTAAGTGCAAAGAAACCCTTTTCTAATCCCAAAGAACACTGATGGGCAGTGAGCTACTTCTGTAGAGCACTCTAAAGACCTTTCTATCCAAAGAACAGGACATCTCCAAATTTAGTCAGTGGGATTACAGAATTACTATAGACCAGTGATTGATATATGACTTTCATTTTCCCTTCACAGGAGGTATATTTATTGATACTGAAGTTCAAGGTCATCCTCGGCTACATAGCAAGTACAAGACCAGTCTGGACTACATGAGACCCTGCCTCAAAAAAACAAATGCTTACACCGGGTGTGGTGGCACACACCTTTAATCCCAGTACTTGGGAGGCAGAGGCAGGCAGATCTCTGTGAGTTCAAGGCCAGCCTGGTCTACATAGTGAGTTCCAGGCCAGCTAGGGCTACAAGACCCTATCTCAAAACAAACAAACCAACAAACAAACCAAAGAAAAACAAAAACACAAAAGCTGTATTGAGATATCATTGACAAAAGCTGTACATGTTTAAAATGTGCAAAAATATTCTGGTATGTGTATATATTTAAAGTGATCACCGTAATTCAGTTAACATGTTTTGTTGCTGTTTTCATGTTTTCTAGTCTCAGGATCAACACATACTGCATCTAGGTTGGGCATAGTGGTGTATACCTCTATTCTTAGCACTTAGAAGGCAAAGGCAGGAAAGATCCTCAAGTTCAAGGTCAGCCTGAGACCCTGTCTCTAAAAGAAAAGACTGATGCATCTAGATTTGATGAGATTCTGGACTTTAGTTCTCATTAAATATGAAGTCTTTGTTGAGGAGGAGCTGGGTATATTTTGTGTAGGATAGGAATAGACATTCACTACCATTATCGTAAAAAGTATCATACCACGCCACTCCTGTCATCCTTCAGGTAGAACATGCTTCTCTGGCTCAGTGTCGGGCTTGTCCATGACACTTAATTTTGGCCAGTGGAATGTGAACAATTTGCCTTCTGTCATAGGGAAGGGTGCCCTCAGGTCAATAGGAAAAAAGGTCAATAGGAGAAAAGCCAATATAGGAAGCCCAGGTGAAATAGCTTGCCCAGACCCAGGATGATGAAATAAACATTTATGCCACTGAGATTTGGCGTTGGATATTTATTCTGTATTATATCATTCTTTTCCATCTAATATGTCAAGATTATTTTTTAGCTATCTCTCCAGCTCCTCAAGATTATTTTATGTTGAAGAATTAAAGACCAAATTTCGAATTCCAGGTTTTCTTTTTATTAAAGTATTTCATGAGATGAACAGTACTATCATCAATCAACACACATTTCATTGCAATATTCACAAATAAAATCCTGTTTTGTAAGTCATCCAAATAACATGCTTCTATGTGGAAACAGTAATCACCACTGAATGCTAGTTAATCTGAAGCTGTTCCTAACCACATACATGGGCTCTCAGGTTGGAGGTTTCAATGTAGTTATTTTAGCATATGGGCCTGGCTTTTGATCCTTGAAAACTAGCCCCAGCAAGCTGCTAGAAAAAAATGGCAATTTGAAATTAACCATTTACCTTTACAAGGTACAGTAGCTCTCCATCTGTACCAAGACATAATCTCTTGTGTTAAAAATAAAGTATGATATATTAAAACAGCATAATTCTGTGCCTCAGATTCACACATTTTGTTGTTCTCATTTGAGACAGGGTCTCCTGTAACTCCAACTAGCCTGGAACTCCCTGTATAGACAGGCTGGCCTCCATCTCACAGAGATCTGCCTGCCTCTGCCTCCTGAGTGCAGAGATTAAAGGCGTATGCCACCATGCCTGGCTTCATGCAGTTGACACAACTGAATGTGATGTGGCTTTAAAACAGATTGGTGATTACTCTTTCCTTGAAAATTGTCTTTTCACTCAAATATCATCAAAATCATGGTAGCCTGACTCAGGATTAATAAAATCCTCTGAAACTATGCTCAGTAAATTATCTGATTGCCATGAAGACAGCTGTCACACTTAGATAAAATTTACAAATTATTTTATGACATTTCATCTGTTACATACTTACATTCTTTGACACCTTTCCATAGTTGGAAATCCTGCTTCCCTAAAGCACAGAGGTACTGATTAGGTTTTGGTATCATTTCTTTGGATGATGTTAGGTCTCTATCACGACCTACAAATGAGGCTGTGATTGACAGAGTAAATGAGTCAATCTTGACAAACTTTTTGGCATAAAGTGTCCTAGTGCCATCATAAAAAGATTTAGTAGTGTCTGTGGGAGTGGGCAACCATTAAAGGAAAAAATCTCAGAGGTATAAATGATATAATTGGGGAGAAGAGCTATTAAAATATTGACCAAATTAATATTTTCCTAAAGCACTTATGTTTTTAAAATATGTGATTCTGCTGTAAAAGAGAAGTAGAAAGAGGCTGATACATACCAACTCTCATTATCAATGAAGTGTACAATACTTCCAATAGAAACAGTGTTAAAAATTTTTACTTTACCTGTACTGAGTTTTTTGCCTGCATCTACATAAGTGCACCCATGTTGTACAATGCCCATGGAGGCCAGAGGAGGGCATCAGATTGCTTGGAACTGGAATTAGGGATGGTTGTTAGCTGACATGTAGGTACTGGGAACAGAACTGGGGTCCTCTGCAAGAGCTGAGCCATCTCTCCAGCCCCAGAAACAATATTGTTAAAATCTCCATATGATACTTTTGAAACTGTTAGCATTAAAAAAAAAAGGGGGGGTGGGTAAAAAAAAACAACATGGAAGAAAAAATATAAACCATGATGGTCTTGCTGTTATTTTCAATTAAAAAATAATAAGCACAAATGGGAAAATCTCAGTAAATAAAAAACCACCTCTAATCAACTTGTCATTTAAAAATGAATTGGTCACATGTGGTAACCCTTGACTGTAATCTCAGCACTCACCTGTAATCCCAGCCCTCAGAAGACAAAGGTAGGAGGATCACAAATTCAAGGCTAGCCTGATCTATGTATAAGTTTCAGGCTAGACAAGGCTACATAGCCAAACCCCATCAACATCACCACTCCTCTTCCCACCCAAAGGAATTAGACACGAAAGTAATTTTCTTTTGTGTACTTGCCATTTTAAAACTGAAGTAATTTATCTGGGTATGGTGGCACACACCTTTAATCCCAGCACTTGGAAGGTCAAGGCAGGTGGATCTCTGTGAGTTCAAGGCCAGCCTGGTCTACATAGTAAGTTCCAGGCCAGCTGGTGCTACAGGGAGACCCTGTCTCAAATAATTTAAGAAAAACATAAAACAACCTTAGAGAAGGCCTTATTGTTTCATATTAGTTATTAGTTGTGGTTCTTTTCAAATGGCAAAGCACTCAATGCCCTATATAGAATACATAGGAAATAATTTTCACACTGAATATAAATCTCTTAAGGAAAAAAACCAACCCACTATACAATATACTTTTCTATAACATGCAGTGTTTAGGAAACAGTAGATAATCATAAAGGTACAGATTTTTCAAATAATCTTAGAGCTAATGATTATTTTAAAGAGTGTCAAAATTTTAAAGGTGAAATACAAAGTTGTTTTGCCAAACTTGTGATAAATCAAAGTTTTCTCTTTATTTTATGACCATATTTGTCCCACTGCTAGAGATGAATGCCAGGAGTCAAATGCAGATGTTAATTTCCTTTCACTGTTTGGGCTAGCAAAGGCTAGCCTGGTTCTAGGCAAGATTGAAGCAGGTTTCATCAGAAGCTGTCCAGGCTGATCCACCAAGAGATTTCTAATACCAAGTAGGCACCTAGAAGAGCTCAGGACAAGTTGTTGAGTTTACTGTGACTCAGAATTCTAGCCTTGCACCATCTTCAGGCCTAATAGAATCCAGAATAGCTTTGAACTATGCTGGATACTGGACTGGATCTCCCTTTGGTATGTACTTTTAGTGCCCGGTACAAAGGTTGAATAAATGGGCAGGGCAGGCAAAGCACCACTGTTTAGAGCCAACCTCCATCTATCAGATGCTTTGTTGACAAGAGCTCAGTGATTCTGGAGCAGCTCCTCCCAACAGATAGGCTGTGAAAACACCTCTCTCTCTAGCCAGAGCTCATAGGAATAGTGGAAATCTTCAGGCAGATCCAACCTCTGCCCCAGCACACTCTGCAAGCAGTTATCCACAGGTGAAAATTCAGAGTCCTGGGGTTTGTCATAGCGTCGGCTGTTAAAAGCCTCAATGTTGGCCCTCAGGGTACATTCTTCTGCTTGGAAGTCCCACGGCCTAGCATCAATGTCTGATGTAGGAAGAATGGAAGAAAAAGATACACAGCTCATGACATCCTTTACACAGAGCATGGCCTTATGGTATCCAACAATGAAACACTCAGAATATTTTGTAAAGAGCAATGTATAAGGCATGCTGATAGGTTTTAGAAGCATACCTATATGCTGGGTGTGGTGGTATGCGCCTTTAATCCCGGAACTTGGGGGGCAGAGGCAGGTGGATCTCTATGAGATCGAGTCCATTGAGCTCCAGGTCAGCTATGGCTATTTACAAGCTAAAACACTTTTATGTTTTAAAAACTTAAAATTATTTAAATTCTAAGAATTTAAATAGCTACCTCTATTTTTTTTTTTTTTTGGTGTTTTTGAGACAGGGTCTCTCTGTAGCCCTAGCTGACCTGGAACTTACTATGTAGACCAGGCTGGCCTCAAACTCACAGAGATCCACCTGACTCTGCCTCCCAAGTGCTGACTCTATTTTATCTTAGTAGAAGTGGTATCTTGGCTTATCACATGCCAGTCATGTGCTCCCCTTATTCTTTGAACTCTTTACTGTAGCATCATCTAGAATTCAAACAGGTTAACAAATCCCAGAAAAAAACAAATCAAGGGGGTGAGGAATGGCTCAGTTCATAAAGCACTTGTCTTGCAAACATGAGGACCTAAGTTTGATCCTCAGAGCCCACATAAAAATGCTGAGTGTAGTGATATGTGCTTGTAATCCTATCACTGAGGAGGCAAACAGGCAGATGATCCCTGGGGCTCTGCTATCCCTAGTCTAGCCTAATTGGTGGGCTTCAGGCAAATGAGAGAATCTGTCTCAAAGGATGTGAAGAGCATTTGTGAGGATGACACCAGAGGTTGACCTCTGGCTTCTACCTGCATGTGCACACACATGTAGGGCACCCGCATGTACACATTCACTTGTACGTAAATGAGTAAGTACAAACACAAAAATGTTAATAATCAGCAGGTGTAGTGGTGTAAGACTTAATCCTAGCACTTGGGAGGCAGAGTCAGGCAGATCTCTGTGAGATAGAGGCCAGCTTGGTCTAAATAGTGAGTTCTAGGGGACTGGAGAGATGGCTAAGGGGTTAAGAACACTGATTGTTCTTGCAGAAGACCTGGGTTCGAATCCTAGCACCCACATGGCAGCTAACAACTGTCCATTAACTCCAGTTCCAGGGGATCCGGCAGCCTCTTCTGTTCGCGGGCACTGCAGGACACGAGTGCACTTACCTACATGCAGGCAATACACACATACACATAAAATTTAAAATAATAAATAAAAGCTGGGCGTGGTGTCACACACCTGTAGTCCTAGCACTTGGGAGGCAGAGGCAGGTGGATCTCTGTGAGTTCAAGGCCAGCCTGGTCTCTGTGAGTTCCAGGACAGCTGGGGCTACAGGGAGACCCTGCTTCAAAAAGACAAAAAATAAAATAAAATAAAATAATAAATAAAATGTTAAAAAAAAATTGGGCTGGATGGGGTGGGATATACCTTTAATCCCAGCATGTGGGAGGCAGAGGCAGGCAGATCTCTGTGATAGCAAATCCAACCTGGTCTATAGGATAGTGAGTTCCAGGTCAGCTGGGGCTACAGGGAGACCCTGTCTCAAAAAGACGCCCTCCCTCCAAAAAAAAAAGAGTTAATAATCACCTTGCCAAAGATTCTTTTTTAGAAAATATTTTTTTACTTTATTTATTTATTTATTAATGGAGACAAAAAATTATGGTCAAACCCACTACAAATACAATGAAAAGAAAAAAAAGAAAAATCCTCTCCAAAATAAAATTCTTTCAAACCAATTATTCTCAGCATAAATACTGGTAGTTTGACCAGATATTGTAACTTATGGTGTGAGGCCACATAGAGTTCCCAGTATTGCCTAAGATGCCAAAAGGTGTAAATTGAATTCACTGAGCCTTACATCTAATTTTCTTAAGCTCTAGTATCATGGAGGATAGAGGAATAAGGTAAATGACTCCATAAAGAAGTGGGCAAAAAAAAAAAAAAAATCCAGAAGGTGGTATTCTGCAGGACAACTAGTTCAGTTCTTCAATTAGCTATTGCAATGGGGATGGGGGGGAGAGGGGCATTGCTAAACAGGAATAAAGAGCATTTTGGCAGTCTGGCATGGTGGCTCATGTCTAAAATTTCAGCACTTGGGAGGCAGAGGCTGGAGGATTGCTACAAATTCGAAGCCAGCTAGGGCTACAAAGCAAAACCTTGTTTCAAAAAGCTAACAATGAAACAAAATATTATGGTACAATTAGAGAATTCTAAAAATAAATTTTGTTAATACTGACATGAAAAGATAGAGATGGTGTTAACTGAAAAGAGATGATAGGGCTGGGCGTGGTGGTGCACGCCTTTAATCCCAGCACTTGGGAGGCGGAGGCAGGTGGATCTTTGTGAGTTCAAGGCCAGCCTGGCCTACATAATGAGTTCCAGGACAGCTGGGGCTACAAGGAGACCCTGTCTCAAAAAAGACCAAAAAGAAAAAAAAAAATGATAAAGTAATAAAACATGCATAGAAAAATGTCTAAAACAATATATAATATGATGTTAACAGTGGCAATCTCTGTATGGTACAAATATGAAGTAAAGGGGGACTAATATGAGCAAGTTACAATGATATGTGTGTAAATGTCATAATAAAACCATTACTTTGTACATTAAATAAATAAAAAATTTAAAAATAAAATATCATGTAATTTTGTGTGTGCATACATGTGTGTGGAGGTGTGTGTGGAGACCAGAGATGGATGTTGAGTTTCTTTATTGCTGTTCACCTTTGACATAGAGTCTGTCACTGAATTTTCAGCTCATCAATTCTGCTAGGCAGCCCACCACTAAGCTCCAGGGATTTGCCTGTCTCTGCCTCTACAGCACTAGGGTTACAGATGCATGCTGCTGTATCTGGCTTTATATGCTGGGGATCTGAACTCATGCTTATACAGCAAGTACTTCATTCACTGCACCATTGCCCAAGCCCAGAAATATTTTTCTTATCTAAAATATATAACAGATAGGTCAGGTGTTGTGCTGCATACCTTTAATCCCAGCACTTGGGAGGCAAAGGGAAGCAGATGGATCTCTTTGAGTTCAAGGCCAGCCTGGCCTACATAATGAGTTGCAGGCTGGCCAGGGCTATATAATGAGAGCCCATCTCTAAAATTAACTAATTAATTAAAAATATGTGACAGAGCCAGGTGTGGTAGTATACACCTGTGATCCTAGCATTCGAGAAGCCCGGAGGATCAGGAGAACCAGGAGTTCAAGTTCACTGTCAGCAACATAACAAGCAAATAAATAAATAAAATAAAATATGCAATAATTCATGTTAGAGAGTAGAGAAAAATGTCTATTTAGTTTTGTTTAAAATAAATCCTGGGGGCTGGAGAGATGGCTCAGCAGTTAAGAGCACTGGCTATTCTTGCAGAAGACCTGGGGTCAATTCCCAGCAACCACATGGAGGCTAATAACTGTCCAAACTCCAGTTCCAGGGGATCCGACGCCCTCTTCTGTCCTCCTTGGGCACTGCACAACATGGGTGCACTTACACACATGCAGGCATAAAACTCATACACATAAAATAAAATAAACAAACAAAACTTTAAAAATCCTGGGTAATTCTTGGAAGTCACAAGCTCTGAGAATACTCACCATTCCCATAAGCCCAGTCATCATTCATGCGATGACGCACTTTCTGGTAAATGGCCGACATGGTCTTCATATTGCTTTTCCTCCACTGACGTCCAAGGTACTTTGTCTGTATCTTTAGTAGCTTTAAGACATAAAGCTGTAGCATGGCTTGTTTGACTTTGAGGGCCCGCTTTAAGATTGGAGCTGACTTAAACACCACCAGCATCTGCCCAATGAAAAAGGGACAGGAAATGAGAGAGGGGAGGGGTGAGGGTAGGATGGGATGGAAAGTAGTACAAAAGGTTCATTAGTATATAAAGTTTCTTGGAATTTCCAACTCAGACAGTACATATGAATCTCGCTATCCTCAGAAACCTGGGGAGTTTTCTAAGGTCCAAACTCTACTTAGAGTTAGTTAGGCTTCAAGAACATAGAAAAGCCAGGTATGGTGGCATATGCCTTTAATCCCAGCACTTAGGTAGAAGCAGATGGATCTCTATGAGTTCAAGGCCAGTCTGGATTACATAGAGAGTTTGAGGCCAGCCAGGGTTACATAATGAGACCCTGTCTTTTAAAAAAAAAATCAGGCTGGGTATGGTGGGGCATACCTTTAATCCCAGCACATGGGAGGCAGAGGCAGGCAGATCTCTGTGAGATCAAAGCCAACCTGGTCTACATAGTGAGTTCCAGGTCATCTGGGGCTACAGGGAGACCCTGTCTCAAAAAGACCAAAAAAATAGAAGAATTAAACCAGACATGGTGGCACATGCCTGTAATCCCAGTACTCAAAGGCTGAGGCAGGAGGATTATGAGCTCAAAGCCAGCCTTAGTTATATAATAAGACAAAGAATATGGAGCTGGAGAGATGGCTCAGGAGTTAATAGAACTGGCTGCTCTTGCAGAGGACCCAGGTTTGGTTCTAAGCATGCACAGTGCAGTGAACAACCATCTGTAACTCCAGTTCCAGGGGATTCAACACCCTCTTCTGACCTCCACAGACAATGCATGGCATGGGTACACTTACATACATGCAGGCAATACACTCATATTATATTTACATAAAGTAAATATAATAAAATATTTAAAAAAAATAAAGAATATGGAACTAATTCATTTAGAGTTCAAAATAATTATAAAATAAAAAGAAATTTTATTTGCCAAATATACCATTTCTACTGTTACTAGATTCTTGTGTATCTTTGGGATCCGACAGCCTCTTCTGTCCTCTGTGGGCATTGCATGACACAGGTGCACTTACTTACATGCAGGCATAACACTCATACACATAAAATAAAAATAATAAATAAAATATTTTTTAAAAATTAAAAAAAATTTATGTGTATGAGTGTTTGCCTGAATGTATGTATGTGCACCATGTGTGTGCCTGGTACCTATGGTGGCCAGAAGAGGGCGCTGGATCCCCTTGAACTGGAGTTACAGACAGTAGTCAGCTGCCATATGGATGTTGAGAACCAAATCCACATTCTCTGTAACAACAGCAAGTGCTTTTAACCTCTGAGCCATCTCTCCAGTCCCATTTTTTTAATACTTAAATTTTTAAATTAAATGCTTCTTTATCATGTGTATAGGTATGTACATGTGTGAATGTGGAGGACAACTTTCAGGATTTAGTTCTTTCCTTCCACTGTGGGTTCCAAGGATTAAACAAGTTGTCAGGCTTGCATAGCAAGCACTTTTACCAGCTGAGCCATCTCATTGCCCCTGGAGATAATTCTATCTACATATATATTACTTTTGTATTTTAGCACAAACAGCCAAATACTTGTCACACTATTCTATATGTTGCTTTTATTTAAAAATGTATCTTGAAAATTATCCCATACCACTACAGAAATGCCTCATCCTTTTTAATGGATATATCTATCATATTCTACTATAAGGACATGCTATAATTTATTTAAGCAGTTGGTATGTTAATGGACATTTAGGTTGTTTCAAATCTTTCATTATTACAAGCAATAACACAATAACTATTAGACATGCATCATTTGGATATAATCCAAATGTGGCTGACTTCCCTGTCTGAGATACCTTAAGGGTAGGTCTTTATTTAGCTCCTTGAAAAGAAATGAACTGGTGAGTAATCATCTTAGAAAAAGTGCACAGGGTTAGGAAGTGGTGAAACGTATGTGGCAGTCACTAGCTACAGGTCTTTCAAAGTGAGCAATCCACAAATACCAATGATATAAAAAATTCTGTGACTTGAAGCCCCCCTTACCATAGTCCTGGAATGCTTCCATTTGGTCAGTTTATTGAGAAGCCTCAGCAGGTTGATGCAGGAAAAGAGGTTCCTCCAGCAGAACTGGCTGTTGTCTCCAGCTTCCTGAAATAGGTAACGTGCATCATTATCTCAATTCCCATAGAAGACTGCAAGTTAAGTCCCTGTTGGTCAGTTTAGGTAAAGCGTTCCAATATGAAATGTTACATCCTTTCCTTCCTGTTCTTCATACACTGAATCTCAACTCAGAGGACATAGTATCCTTTGCCCCACCCTGAGCTGGGTTGAGTATGGAGCTCAGTAGTAGAGTGCTTGCCAAACTTAAGCGAAGCAATAAGTCTGAGTCCCAGCCAAAGCAAAGCAAAACTAAACAAAAACAACCAGAAAACACACTCAGTTAACAGTCCTGTAAGACTCTTTACCTAGCAAGTATTGGTTAGAAAAGTGATACATGAATACAGGAACTTGATTCCGTAAATTTTCTTGTATTGCTTATCACTTAGAAAAGAGATGATAAAATTTTACCCCCATATACTTTGCACTTACATAAACAATGTTTGTAATTGCTAGGAGTTTGGTCTCATTCTAGATTTTTAACTATGTTGGGTAGATCTGATGTTATAGATGAATTTAAAATCAACCCTCACTATCTTTATCAAATTATAGTCATGCTTAATTCTTCAGCAGTGTTTTGTTAGTGCTATCAATTTGACAGGATCTGGAATCAAACAAGCCTTCAGGTATACTTGTGAGGGATTATTTAGCTTTCTTAATATTTAAAATTTACGATTATGGTCTATGGGGGGGCACAGACATGCCATGGGTGGGCATGCAGAGGTCAGAGGACAACTTTGTTGAGTTGGTTCTCTCCTTCCACTCAAGATCAAATTCAGATTGTCAAGTATGCCACCTCCCTGGTCCATGGGTTATCTTGATTGGGTTAGTTGAGTGGGAAGATCTACCCTAATAATACGTACCATCCCTGGGTTGGGTTCTGGACTGCAAAAAAGGAGAAAACTAAACATAAGTATTCATAACCCTCTGTTTCCAGACTGTGATTCATTAGGACCAGCTGCCTCAAGTTCCTGCTGCTATGCCTTCCCTGCAGTGATGGGACTGGGAGCCAAAATAAACCCTTCCTAAGTTGCAGTTGTCAGGATATTATTTTTATTATGTATGAGTGCTTTGCCTGCATGTATGCAATGCACACAAAAGCCAGAAGAGGGCATCAGATCTTCTAGAACTGGAGTTACAGCTGACTGTTAACCACCATGTGGGTGCTGGGAACTGAACCAGGGTCCTCTGCAAGAGCAGCCAGTGCTGGTAACCCCTGAGTCATCTTTCTAGCCCCTGTTAGGGTATTTCTTTTTAAATCATAGCAACAGGAAAAGTAACTAATAGAGAAGGAAAAAAGAGCAGATGGTCCACTCTAATCCAGGTACGTTTGTGTTTACTTTATTATTTATTAGTGTATGTATGTGTGAGCAGTGTACATGGAGGTCAGAGGACAACTCCATTGAGGTGGTTCTCTCCTGTCTTTATGAGGGCCCCAGGGATCAAATGTCAAGTATTTTCACCCTATGAGCCCATCTTGCCGGGCCCTTTTTTTTTTTTTTTTTTTTGTCTTTTTGAAGCAGGGTCTCCCTGTAGCCCCAGCTGTCCTGGAACTCATTATGTAGATCAAGCTGGCCTTGAACTCACAGAGATCCGTCTGCCTCTGCCTCCCAAGTGCTGGGACTACAGGCGTGCGCCACCACGCCCAGCTCTACCAGGCCCTTTTTTATGTTTCTTTTTTCAAAAGTTTTTATTTGTATGTGTGTGTGTGTGTGTGTGTGTGTGTGTGTGTGTGTGTTGTAATGCACTTGCAGAGGCCAGAAGAGGAAGTCAGGTCCCCTGGAGCTGGAGTTACAGGCTGTTGTGAACCACCAGACATGGGTACTGGGAACAGAGCTCTGGTTCTTTGGGAGAGCAGCAAGCTTTTTTCATTGCTGAGCCATCTCTCTAGCCCTTTTATATGTTTCTTTATATATATACATATATACACACATATATATATATAATATTCTCTTAAGAGTTCATTATAAACCAGTTCCATAAGTCACAGAAAATGAAAGGACTATGTACAGCCTTTCTGGGAACAGGTAAGGAGCTGCAGAGGGCCAAGATGAGTCTAAGGCCTTGGAGGGCACATTCCCAGGGGAGGGGACTGCATCTCTTACATATTTCTTGAAAGCTTATTGTACCTAACCAGCGACAACAGATTATATCAGATTAGAAATAGGTATCTACTCATAGAAACATTTTCTTCAGGAGGAAAAATAACACTTCTTATAGGATTTGGAAATAAAAAAAAATATATATATATATATATCATCAGAAACTAAATCACTGGACAGGTTGGTCAAATGAACACCTTAGAAATTCTTACATTTATAATGTGACAAGAGAATAAAGGAGCAGGAGGCATATCAAATTTCATTATCTGGCGAGTACAGAATTACCTCCTTCCCTTCCAAATTAATTTGAAGCAAGCATGAAAGCTATCTATCAAATAAAGAATGGACATCCAAGAGTTTTGAGTGAATTAGGCTCTCCTGATATCCAATATCAAGCATCAGAGAGTTTCTGAAAACTTTAGAAATATTACTTAGAAATAATATTCTCCTTCCTACAGTAAATGCTCAACACTGTACTTCGAACTAGTCCCAATAAAACTCTGCTGTTTCTCAGAGAAGCTTCCACAGGAATTTCTACCCTAGGGTATCAGGTCTGGCTTGCCTAAAACAGGTTAGGTTTTACATCCTATTTGGTTAAGAGAGACAGACTTAAGAAAATTAGGGGTGGTGGTATTTTTTTTTTTTTTTTTTTTGGTCTTTTTAAGACAGGGTCTCCCTGTAGCCCTAGTTGGCCTGGATTCACTATGAAGATCAGGCTGGCCTCGAACTCACAGAGATCTGCCTGCCTCTGCCTCCTGAGTGCTGGGATTAAAGGCGGGCGCCACCACGCCCAGCAAGGGGTGGTGTTTTTGAGACAAAGTCTTACTATAGCACTCAGGCAGTGGAACACAAAACATGGGATAGATACAATCACCATGACCTTTCTTTATCCTGATTTTCATTATGGCAGAGGCATAAAAAGCCTTGCATTCTACAGCACTTCAAAGAATAATATGACAGTGGTGGAAGTTTGGCTGTTGGAAGCAGCACTAGACTAGGTAGGTACCAGAATCCCTGCATTATGGTTTTAGTCCTGAGTATATATGCAAATCCTTTTCCTTCTGGTTCCTATACGAGGTTGGATTAGATGATCATTAAGATTTCTTCATGGTGCAGGGATATAGTTGAGTGGTTAGAGCACTTGCTTAATATCCATCAGACTCTGGGTTGAATTCCCAACACTACCCATCCCCCAAAATATGTTTAGCTCTCTTCTATAATCTTTGATTTACTTGAACTCTGTCCTATTTCCTGTCTTTTTTTTAAAGACAAGGTCTCCCTGTAGCCCAGCTGCCTGAACTCACTATATAAGCCAGGCTGGCCTTGATTGCACAGAGATCTACCTGCCTCTGTCTCCCCAGTGCTGGGATTAAAGGTGTGTGTCACCACACCCACCTGTCCTAGTTACTTTCTATTACTGTGTTAAAACACTGACCAAAAGCAACTTGGGGAGAAAAGGATTTATTTGGCTTACAACCCACAGTGTATTATCAAGAGAAGATGAGGCAGGAACTCAAGGCAGGAACCTGGAGGCAGCAGCTGAAGCACAGACTATGTAGGAATGCTGCTTACCGACTTGCTCCTCCAGTCTGTGCCCAGTCTGCTTTCTTATACAATTCTGAACCACCTGCCCACAGGTGGCACTACCCGTAGTGGGCTGAACCCTCCCATGTCACTCAACAATCAAGAAAATACCTCATAGATAAACCCATAGACTAATCCAATAGAGAAAATTCCCGAAATGAGGTTCCCTCTTCCCAGGTACATATCAAGTTGACAACTGAAGCTGTCCAGCACACTCTGAAAAGAAACTGCCTCATTCTTTTTTTTTCTTTTTTGCAACAAAGTTTCATGTATTCCCAGGCTGACCTGGAACTTGAACTTGGTTTGTAGCCAAGGATGACCTTAAATTCTCTCTCTCTTTTTTTTTTTTTGTCTTTTTGAGACAGGGTCTCCCTGTAACCTCAGCTTTCCTGGAATTCACTATGTAGACCAATCTGGCCTTGAACTCACAGAGATCCGCTTGCCTCTGCCTCCCAAGTGCTGGGATTAAAGGCATGCGCCACCAGGCCTGGCTGTCTCTCATTCTTTTTAAAGGTTATACAATATTCTACTCCAAGAATATAACGCCCTTTAACCAGTTGGTCCTGTGTTCATATACACTTAGGCTGCTTTTTCATTATTACAAGTAATGAGGCACTGGATAAAACCAGATGCCTCATCTGGGATATGTAACTGTAATCCAAACAAAATTTATAACTTCTCTGCCAGAGTGGGCTGCAACTGAAAAGACAAGAACTACTGAATAATCAGGGGAAGTTTTTTTGTTCTGTTTTTTTAAGATAAGGTCTCCCTGTAGTTCCAACTAGTGTAAGTAGACCAGGCTGGCCTTGATCTCACAGAGATCCACCTGCCCCTGCCTCCCAAGTGCTGGGATTAAAGATGTGTATCATCACACTTGGCTTTCAAGTGAAGTTTTAAAGGCAGAGTTTTGAATGAGGGTAAGCTGAGTGTGGCTATCTTTTTCTTCACAGCTCAGTTTGAAGAGTCCCAGGACAGGCCCCAATTCCCTCCCTTTAGATACTGTCAGCTACCCAACTAAAACTACATCTCACCCGATACCAGATCCTGCCTAGAGCGGGCAGGGAAATCACACACACTGGCCAGCAATGCTCTCAGCAGGGGCCAGTCTACAGAGTTCTGATTTTGTCACAAAGCAAATTCGACATGAAGTACGGCTTCAATTTCTGCCTTGTTTCAACAGCTGAACCATTTTCATAGCAGGTCTTCAGTTCCCCAGGTACCTTTTCAGATTTGCCATACTTTGTGTTCTTTTCTCTTTATGCTTATTTCCACTTAAGACACATCTTATATTTAAACATGATATAA